GGCACGCTGCGCTGTAAGAAATGGAGTACCATACGAAGATCCGGCGGCAGAAGCAACCGAAGAATCAAATAGGAAACAATAACGCACGACGGCTTGAACAGATCCCAGTGATGACACCTGATGTGGAAACCGGATGGCAGCTCTTTAAGAGCGACATATTCGAGCTGCTGCCAAATGCCGCGGATATAGACGGGTTAGCCTGCTATCTGGAGGTCAGAAAAAATCTTCGGTGGACACGAGAGGTACAACTGGCAGTTAAAGAGAAGAAAGCAGCGTTCAAGAAATGGCTTGGAAACAAGGAGCGATCTACTCGTTTCAGATATGTCGAGGCACGCAAGGCGGCAGCGAAAGCCAAAGCTGATTCCCTGGAGAAGTTCGGTGAGGCGTTAGAGTCGAATTTCCATACGCCAAACAAGGTATCTTGTGGATGGATCTTGGAGACCATCCGCCGGGTCCGAGGTGAAAAGAAGGACGGTTTCAGAGTCTTGAAAGACAGGTCTGGACACCCTCTTCCCAAGGATGATGACGTTCTTTGACAATAGAAAGAGTACTTCTAGGAACTGCTTAACTCCGAGCAACCGCAGCACGACTCGCATCTAGCGCAGCAGGGAGCGGATATTACTTTCTGAGTCGATGAAATTGCACAAGCTGTTAAAAGCTTCGAAAATCGAAAGGTTGCCGGAATTGATGAAATCCGCCCTGAAATGTTCAAGGCTCTAAGCGAACAAGGCATGTTCTGGCTTACACGTATCTTTCCAACTGCGATGACTACGACAAAGACACCAGTGGACTGGAGAACGCAAATTATTGTACCCCTATTCAAGAAGGGAGACGAAAAGGAGTGCTCCAATTATAGAGGCATTACGTTATTGGGCCTCACAGGTGAAGTCTACGCAAAGGTGCTAGAAAGGAGGCTCGGTGGAATAACTCGCCTCAAGATGCAAGAAGAGGACTGTGGCTTCCGACCCGGTCGAAGAACTTCTGACCATGTGCCCTGCGCCAGATTGTTCAGAAATCGTGGGAGTGCGCCCATCTGCTGCACATGTGTTTTGTTGACCTCGGAAAAGCCTAAGAGCCGATCCCACGCAACAGTCTGGTCATGCCTGTAAGCATACGCGATTGATCGTCAGCTGCGTCAGAGTAAATGGCGTTAAATCGAAACCATTCAACATTCGCACTGGTCTCCGCGAAGGCTGCGTCATGTCCCCTATCCTTGATATGTTGTACATGGGTAGAACAGTCAGGAATTGTCAAAGCAATGAGGTATCAGTGTAGATTTGAAGACGGGAAGACGGTTGCTGTTTGCAGATGAACTTCTTTTATTGGCATCTTCTGAAACTGATCTACAGTGCTACCTAGAAAGGTTCGCAGTCGAGTGCGACTTCACTGCCTTGCGCGTGAACGCATCTAAAACGAAAAGCTTAGTGCTTTCTTGTTCTTTTGCCGATTAATTTCTTCAGATTAACGGAGACTCAATGGAGCAAGTGGAGAAGTACAAGTACCTCTGTATTTACTAATGAGGGAAAATTGGAGGAAAAGATCGACCGGCGAATTGGGGTAGCCAGTGGCGTTCTGCGTGAATTAGCCGGAGCCATTGTGACTAAAGCAGAGTTCAGTCTGAAACTAAGCTCTCGATATTCAAGTCGATCTTTATCCCCATACTTACCTACGGTCATGAATCGTGGACCATCACGGAAAAAGTTCGAACCGGGGTTCAAGCTGCTGAAATGGGCTTTCCTTGACGAGTCGCTGGCCTTAGGCATCTCGACATGGTCCGGAATACTGATATCCGGAAGAGCTTTGGAATACAA